AGACTGTTTGTGCTTGTGTTGCACCTCCTCGGGACTACAAAGCTGCTGACTCTGATCGGTTTTGCAACTCGAGATTCAATGTAAGATTTTAATTATTTGATTTTGAAAGGGAGCCTTGGAGCAACGGTAAAGTTGTCTCCGTGTGTTAACCTATAGGTCACGGGTTCAGGCCGTGAAATCATACTTCTATCAAGGTAGGCTGCTTACATGGGTGACCCTGCATTAACACGGATGCTTTGTGCAACGGACTGCCCTTTTTTGATTTTGGGACTTCCAAATTATCCAGTTTCTGCTTTGGGTTCTGTTTTATAGTAGCTCATCTGTTCCATTTTATATGATAATATTTGACGGGAAACAAAGTTTAGGATGTTAAATTGGATTTGTGAGCTGTATTGGCAATAGCAGAAGAAAATAATCGCTCATAATTTAGTTTGGTAGGAAACATCACATCAAAGTTGAAATTTGATAGCTTAATGATTTTGGATTCTTGAGACTTGTGGAAGTTGTATAGAAATGGAATGGTGTACCACATTTTAGGACACCCTAAACTGGAAAGAATGCCATATGAATCGGAATAGCGAGAGCACTAGTGGCATGTCTTTGAGCTTCATGAATCATGTCAAATTGAGGTAGTTACTGAAATTACTCTGTTTAATCAGTTGATTTTCTGGTTTTATTAGGAAGGTGGTCGAGGGTTGAGATAATGTAGAATAAGTTGAAGTGCCGAAATAGAAATGTCTATCTTTGATATTTGCATCCTAATGGTTCCATAATGGCGTTTAGGAACTTGGTCACTTATTATTGCAATGTTGCTTATACCTTTGTCCACATTTCTCTTTGGGCTCCATTTGGTATGAGAAAAAAGATCCTGCTTGCACAGAAGGGTGTGACCAAGTGGTTAATAAAGTTGGAGGAAAAACATGAGGTCTTAGGTTTAAATCCTAGCAGAGGCAAACACACTAGGTGATTTCTTCACATTTGCATTAGCCTTGGTAGGCAGAGTTACCCGATACCTGTGTTGGTGGGAAGTAGCACATACCCGTCGCACACCACCTTCGTAAAAGAAAGAAAAGAAAGATCTTGCTTGGTGAGATATTCCCAATATTTTATTGTCTTTAACATGGGAAAATTTCTTTCAATCAAATCTAGAAAGACGACTTTCATATTGGATGTAATATAACAACAACAAAAAAAAAAAAAATCCAGTGTAATCCCACAAGTGGAGTCTGGGGAGAATAATATGTACGTAGACCACAAGTGGACCTTACCCCCTATCAAGATAGAGAGTTTGTTTCCGATAGACCCTCGGCTCAAGGAACAATAACAACAACAAGAGAAACAAGACACATCGTATAATAATAAAGACCTAGAGATAAGAAATGCAAGAATAGTACTAATACTACCGGGAAGAATGACACAACGTGTAATAACAAAGCTCTAGGAACAAGAAAATATAAGAATATTACTAATACTATTGGAAATATCACCTGTATTACTTTAAACACCAATCTGAAATATCACATTCTGTTCATCTTCACGGACAAACAAACATAGATATTTGTGTAGAGATGAACTTTCCTTAGTAAAGTATTTTCCACAAGAAGCATTCATGTGGATAAAGTGTTGGTGAGATCATGTTGTCCTAAACTCATCTTTTATGTCTATACAAGTGCTTTAAAAAGTTAAACACCAAAACAAGATCAGTCTGAAAGAGCGAGGTAGAGTGGGTTTTTGTAGGGAGGGGGAGGGGGAAGAGAGAGAAGAACATAGGCAGAAGACGAACAGTAGAAGGCTGAGACGTGAACCATGAGTAAGCATAACACTTATCCTAAATAGTGTGGGGTTAAGAGGAATGCTGGTGGACATCTATGTTGGTTTGGAGAAAAAGTGTTCCAAATAAAGGTGAGCAGTTGGTTTGGAGAAAAAGAGTTCCAAATAAAGGGGAGAGATTTCTGCAATAACTGGTTGAGTCGGGGTATGCCAAGGGTGCTCAAACATTGATAAGACTTGATTTTTGTCGTTAGAAAAGTTGCTAATAGAATCCGTTTTGTTATACGCAAGTCAAAACCTCCTCTGATGGGGTGTCTAACATATGATCTCCATTGCACTTTGGAGAGGTGCCAATCTAAGAACGACCCAAGTGGTCAAGCCTAAGACATATGCTGAAGTGTGACCATCTCATCTAAAAGCTTTAACTGTTAGAGAGAACACACTTTTATTTACTTAATTATGTCTTCAACACACCCCCTCACATGCTGCCTTAATTCTTTTTGATGAGCCAAGAACATGAATTCTTTTTGATATTGTGTGGTGGTGAGACTCAAACCAAGGACCTTTGCTTGCTCTGATACCATATTGAAGTGTGTGACCATCTCATCTAAAAGCTTAAGCTGGTAGAGAGAATACACTTTTATTTTACTTAATTATGTCTTCAACAACATAATGACATTAAAAATACTCAAGAAGCATTTAGTTTTGGTTTTCAGATTTTGGAAATTCTTCCGGTACCCTTTAAAATTAGGTACTTATANGGGGGTGGGTGGGGGTGGGGTGATTTTTCCAGATAAATGTCTGCTGGATAGAATCTTTTGATCAGAACATATATGAGTTGCTTTACATTTGGCAGGCGTTGACAACATTTGAATCCTGCCTAGTTTACTGTATCTTCCCTGAGCTCTCTTTGTCTCGTTTGAATTGCAGGAATCTGCTAAATTGGAGAATGTGAGCTTGTTGAGAGAGCCTGAGGATGAGTCAGATGTGCTCATTGAGTGCAGAAATGTGTGCAAGTCATTTGGCGACAAGCATATCTTAAGAGGTGTTAGCTTCAAGGTGAACTTTCATTACTTCAGAAACTGCTTGTATGCAGTATGATTGGGTCTTCCAATTTAGGAGTTTTTTCCATTTTTGTTTATGGATTATGATTGAAAGATCAATAAAAGGTAAAGGTTAGGAAACTATACTTAACGAAAGAAAGTTGGCTGGCTACAGTAAAAATGATTGTTTTATTTCCTTTCTGGGTTATTGGTTTCTGCATTCATGACTTCTCATTCTTTGTGTTTGTGAAAGTGCTGATAACCTTTAATCACCATCTTTACCCTCTGTTACAGATCAGACATGGTGAGGCCGTTGGAATAATTGGGCCTTCTGGTACAGGGAAATCAACAATCTTAAAGATAATGGCCGGCCTTCTTGCTCCTGATAAAGTATGTGTGTATTGTTTTTCTCGTTTCAGAATACAGCTGTGCCACTTATAAAAATGTGATTCTAGATCCCCTTATCTCTGCTAATAGACTTCATTGAATGCAGGGAGAAGTCTTAATCCGAGGTAAATTGCGCAATGGATTAGTGAGTGATGAGGAAATTTCTGGGCTTAGGATTGGCTTAGTAAGTTATATGTTCTATCTCTTTTTTGGTTGTCCGGTGAAATGGACTGTAGAGGTACTTCTTGAATGTTCTTATTATCTTATAAACATTTCCATCCCCTTAACAGGTGTTTCAGAGTGCTGCACTTTTTGATTCCTTAACTGTTCGTGAAAATGTTGGTTTCTTGCTGTAAGATACTCTCAGTTCACTAATTATCCATTAAAAAGAAAAGATTTTCTCAGCTCTGCTGAATCAGAAGTTTTTCTTTTGGCTATACTGATTAGAGATTGTTGGCTATTCTTCTCTTTGGAATTCTAGATATGAGAATTCAACTATGCCAGAGGATCAAATTGCACAGCTTGTAACTGAAACTTTAGCTGCTGTTGGGTTGAAGGTATGGGCAACGATAAACATTTATAAATGATGCATTAAATTCCTTATTACAAAAGATAATGAATGCATTAAACAAATGCATCCAGGTTCCCAACTTACTATAACAATGAAAATAGTTTTAGACTTTTACCAACTTAAATATTGCTATTTGCATTATCATTTCAAGATCTCCTTCTCTCTCACACGCACTGTACGGAAATGTCCTCTGCTGTTTTCTGGGCAAATTGAATCGAATAGAGAATAGAGGATTCATCGCTATAGTATTTCATATAAATAGTTATGATTGGTTTCACAGATGCCAATTTTCAGTTTTATGTCTATGCAGGAAGTTGAAGACCGGTTACCTTCTGAATTATCTGGTGGTATGAAGAAAAGAGTTGCTTTAGCTCGCTCTATTATTTTTGATACCACGAAAGACGTAGTAGAGCCAGAGGTATGTTCCAGGTGCTTCATGGCATGATCATCAGTTTTTTTTGGGCTTGCGTTTGTATTTCTGCTAAATGGATTGTTGTAATCTGGTTCACTGCTTTTCTTCATGCTGGTTACTCTGTGGTCTGAATGCTACATGTTAGTCCCTTTGTCCCAGATTATCATCCACTTTGCTTTTTGGGAGTCAATTTGTAGAATCATTCATGTTGTCCCTGAATTGGTAAATTATTTTTAAAAGTAGGAGTTATCCACTTCCAATTTCACTCCTAAAGTTGGTCAAAATGACTTAAGAAAAGTGAAAATGGACAATTTGTGATGGAGAGCGCTGCTTAATTAATTTTCTAGGGATGTCCTTGTTTTGAACTTGAGGTACTCCATTCTTCTGAAACACCTTGAACCTCTTTATAGCTCTGTAATCAAGAGAGCATTTATTATGGAACTGTTGGTTTTAGGTGACTTCACTCTTACTCTGAGGACTTTTTTTTGTATTGTTTGAGAAAAGGACTTGATGTCCAAAGATGGAAATGCAAAAATAAGTTCGCATCTAATCTTCTGGGCAAGTTTAATGACTGATAAATTTTATGGCATGAAGATGATATGTGTGTATCAAAAGAAAAGGATGCCTGCAAAATTGATGGATGCAGCTTATTGTTGAATTGTGCAGTGTCAAACTATCATTAAATATTTTTTGTCATAACCCTTAGCATTATAAATTTTGTAGCTTTACGGGTCTAAATTGAACGACATGGTTAGTGAGGGTTCATATAACTGAACCTACTAGCTTGGGATTGAAGCTTAGTTGTATTTATTGATAGTTATATTTGTTAAAAGAATACTACCGATGGATGTTTTTACTGAAATCTCTAAAAATAAAGGAAGCTACGAGATAAGCAAAAATAATTTTACTATACAAAAGTATGGGTTAATGCATAAGGAGCAAATAAATCCAATTTGTTACCCGGACTTGGAAGAAGGAAGCTTTGTTTAATATTTTAAACCTCAAGAGACCACAGGGATGGTATGTTTATTTAATTCTATTATTTTCTTTTTTTTATTAAGTAAAATCATTCCTGTCTTTTTTGATAATAGGTATAATCATTCCTGTCTTTTTACTTCATGGTGCACTGGACAATGTAATTTTAGTCTTGACAGACCTCTATCTCTGCCAAGTATGGAAATAAGCCTCCTTAAATTACGAAGTTAAATTTTTTTTGGTTAATGATGTCCAGATGATTACAGATGGAAAATAGGTTCAAACTGAAATCCTTGGTGAGAGACTAGAGTAACAAGAATCAACTTGACATCTTTAAGAATTGAGCCTTCTAGGCTGGCCATTGGCTCCCTTTTTTATAACAGAATCAACTATTTTAAATGAAATGTGTAGTGAAATTCAGCTTTATCCATATCATTGAGCATTGCAATTTCTATAAATGATTCGCTTTATTAGTTCACATCGATGCATACGAAATTTGTGCATAGCCGTCAAATAATTTTCAGTAGTTGGACTTCTTTATTTAGGTTTAGGCAGAATATGTAGTTTACTCCCGACCTTGAGGTCAATCCCTGTGACACACCTCTTCTGTGTTTTGCCACTTTTTCTCAACAATTCTATGCCAGGCACCAATAAAACTGTGACAAGTGCCATTAAACTCTAAAAAGAAATATTTAAAATTACAAGTATACCCCTGAAAAATTACAAGTATACCCCTGAAAAAATTAAAAATCCATGGCTGCCACCACCTTATCACCACCACTGCCATAGCTGCCACCATCTACTTTCCATGATTACCACCACAACTTTCAAACAAAACACGTGAACACCACAGTCCCTTTTCACTTGTTCAACAAAAAATTCTTAATCTGAAAGAAGAATAAAATCACCAGTAAACTTAGCAATGAAATTGGCGCAGAAGGAAATCTGGTAACATCAGGGTCAATGTCATCGGTGTCGGGTCGGAGAAAACTTCTGCATTATTCTGAAAAATCCCCCAATTTGTCACTCCTATTCCTCCGAAAGGATATGATATTTCTGAAATTGAGCTCACATCTGGTACCACTACAACTTCTAAAGATGATGATGGCACTTGAAATTCAAAAGAAAAAAGAAAACAAAAAAATTAGTTTAACTTTCAAGAAATTGCAAAATTGGATGTTGGTAAAATGATAAATTTTGAGTTCTTCACAGATTTGTGAATAAAAAAAGACAATTATGTCAATACTATTTTGGCATGAGGAAGAAGACGAACGGGGAAAGGGGTTTGGGAAAGAAAACTAGAGGACGTGGGGTTGCAGGGGGACGACGCGTTAAGGGGTAGACGATGAGGAGCAAACAATTTTAAAAGAAAGGGAAAAAGTCTTTAAGTTTTAACACGTGGCACTTAAATATGGATTGGGACAAAAATTTTAGACTTTAACGCGCTTCTTCTTGTTAAGCACACTCATGCCGCGTAGAAAAAGAGGTGTGTATTAGATGCACTTTGAAAAGTTTGGGTGTGTAAAGGGTTTTCCGTGGAAAGGTGTGTCACAGAGATTTGACCTCAAAGTCAGGGGTAAACTATGTATTTTGCCTTCAGGTTTATGATATATTGACTGGAAAAAAAACTATTTATATAGGACGGAACTGTGAGAATTAATAACTTGGAAAATTATATTATTGATGTACATTAACTATAATACAAGTACCCCTATTTATAACAATACACAATACCTACACTACTCATATTCCATGTAGGACCTAAGTTGATCGGACACGAGTGCAGATCTACAGGTCAGATCCTTCGAGATGTAAATTCTAAGATTCGGGGATATGGATCCTAGTACGGATACGGTTGCAGGGATCCAGCTAAAAATAATTCAAAAAATAAAAATATAAAAATACCTCTAAAGTCTAAATTATGAGAAATTTTGAGGAATACTTGCGTATAGCTTGTAAGTTTGGATTTCTTTTTTGTTCTCAAGTTGTAGATAAGTAAATGATTGATTTCTCAGATAAGGTATGCTATTTTCTTCCCTAGTTTTGGTTCTGATTTTGGGAATCAAATTGTATCTCATCTCAAATTTTTCTGTCTGTCGTGGTCAAAGTACCCAAAATTGTTTGACCAGATTCGGAACGAATCCCCATACCCACACCCATACTAGTGTCGTGTCGACACGGGTGCGGCAACGAAATTGCCGTGTCAGAGCAACTTAGTGTAGGACTATGCTTATTTACATAACAACTAACTAACACTCCCCCTCAAGTTGATGCATACAAATCATATGTACCGAGCTTGTTACATATATAACTAATACGAGGACCTCTGAGGGACTTGGTAAAAATATCTGCAAGTTGATCATTCGACTTCACAAACTTTGTAGCAATATCTCCTGAGAGTCAATCTCAATGTGTTTTGTTCTCTCATGGAACACAGGATTTGACGCAATATGAAGGGCAACTTGATTATCTCACACAAGTTTCATCTGGCTTATTTCATCAAATTTCAACTCCTTGAGCAACTGTTTGATGCAAACTAGCTCACATGTTGCCATGACCATTGCTCGATATTCTATTTCTGCACTAGATCGAGCAACTACATTCTATTTCTTGCTCTTCAAGACACCAGATTGCCTCGTACTAAAACACAATATCCGAACGTAGAACGTCTATTAGAAGGTGATCCTGCCCAATCAACATCTGAGTATCCAACGATCTGCTCATGGCCTCGATCCTCAAACAATAACCCTTTGCCTGAAGCCGATTTTATATACCGAAAAATGCGGACAACTGCATACCAATGACTATCACAAGGAGAATCCATAAACTGACTTACAACACTCACAGGAAAGGAAATGGCAGGTAAAGTCAATGTGAGATAATTTAATTTGTCAACCAGCCGCCTATATCTTGCAGGATCGCTAAACGACTCCCCCTGTCCTGCCAGAAGTTTAGAATTTGGATCCATCGGAGTGTCAACAGGTCTACAGCCTGTCATTCCTGTCTCCTTAAGAATGTCTAAGGCATACTTCCGTTGTGAGATCACAATATCTGAGCTAGGCTGAACGACCTCAATACCCAGAAAATACTTTAATCTGCCCAGATCCTTCTGAAAGTGTTGAAAGAGATGTTGCTTCAATTTAGTAATACCATCATGTTCATTGTCGGTAATAACAATATCGTCAACATTGACCACCAGATAAATATCGAGACTTGAAGCAGAATGCAGATAAAACACTGAGTGATCAGCTTCACTACGAGTCATGCCAAACTCCTGGATAACTGTGCTGGACTTACCAAACCAGGCTCGAGGAGACTGCTTTAGACCATCAAGTGACCGATGCAAGCGACATACAAGGCTACGAGACTCCCCCTGAGCAAAAAACCAGGTGGTTGCTTGCATAATATAAGACAAGTACATGCAGTCATGGAAGAATTTGAAAAATTGATGCCAGTTTCTGCTAGTATTGAAAAGCAACAAGAGTAACGACAGAAGATGTTTCTAGTTCTTGCCCTCACTTTAGGGCTATCTTTCACCATTGACAGACATGGTTCAATGTGCCAGCTACGCTTCCTCTTCTAGATCAGTCACAGCCTAGCCTGATTCCCCCTCGTTGGACTTCCTAATGACCTTGATTCAGTTCGTGACCAGATTTTGGCTAGTCCGACTGTCCCTACAATTGATGAATTATTCTCTCGATTACTTTGCCTTGCTGCAGCACCAAGTCATCGCGATCTCATCACAGACACTTGACTCATTTGTTCTCGCATCCCAAACAATGGAAAATCGGGCATCTAAAACTATGGAGAATAGACGAGGCAGGGGTCGTTTTGGAATATACCCAAGTGTTCTTATTGTAATAAACTTGGACACGCTCGTGAAGTGTGCTATTCTTTACATACACAAGGCTACGAGACTCCCCCTGAGCAACAAAACCAGGTGGTTGTTCCATATAAACTTCATCCTCAAGGTCACCGTGAAGAAAAACATTCTTAATGTCCAGATGATAGAGAGGCCAATGGCGAACAACAACCATGGATAGAAAAAGGTGGACTGATGTTATTTTAGCCAAGAGAGAGAAAGTATCACTGTAATCGAGCCCAAATATCCGAGTATATCCTTTGGCAACAAGACGGGCCTTAAGTCGATCAACCTGGCCATCCGGACCAACTTTGACTACATAAACCCAATGACAATTAACAGTAGATTTACCTAAAGGGAGAGGAACAAGCTCCCAAGTACCACTCGTATGTAAAGCAAACATCTCGTCAATCATAGCCTGTCGCCATCTTGGATGAGACAATGCTTTCACCTGTAGACTTAGGGATGTAAATAGAGGACAAAGAAGATATAAAAGAATAATGGGGTGATGACAGACAATGATAACTTAAACCGACATAAATACGGATTGGGATTAAGTGTGGTCCGTATACCTTTCTGGAGTTTCTCACCGATGCTCTGATACCACGTGGGAATTAATAACTCGTAAAATTATATTATTGATGTACATTAATTATAATACAAGTACCCCTATTTTTAACAATATACATTACCTAAACTACTTCTATTCCATGTAGGACTATGCTTATTTACATAACAATTAACTAACATGAACTTTTAAGAAGTAAAATTCAAAACAAGAATATGAAGTGAGAGGGCACGTAATATGTGCATAGTTGTGGAAGGTAAGAGCGAGGGGTAAATGGTTTAGCATTATTAGTTCACATTGATGCATACGAAGTATGTGCATAGCCATCAAATATTTTCATTAGTTGGGACTTCTTTATTTAGATTTATGATATATTGGCTGATAACTATGGGGGCATTGAGGAGCAGTGGGGACGCGAGTGGTATGTGGACCGCGACTGCGAATTGCATTAGGGAGGCTGCTAGGGAGATATTGGGGGTCTCGAAGCGCCCTTCTGGTGGCCGCTAAAGGGACTGGTGTTGGAGCATTGAGGTCCAAGGTAAAGTGGAAGCCAAGAAAGTGGCTTATTTGAAGCTTGTGGAAAGCATGGACGAGGAGGAGAAGAAGACGAACAAGGAGCGGTATAAGGTGGCTAAGAAGAAAGCAAAGGTAGCAGTTACTGCGGCCAAGGCTGCCGCATTTGAGCGCTTGTATGAGGAACTTGGAGGCAAAGAAGGGGACCAGAAGTTGTACAAGTTAGCCAAGGTGCGAGAGAGGAAGGTCCGTGACCTAGACCAAGTGAAGTGCATCAAGGATGAGGAAGGAAGAGTGTTGTTGGACGAGGTTCTGATTAGACAGAGATGGCATGCGTACTTCCATAAACTCCTGAATGATGAGGGGGATAGGAATATTGTGCTGGGGGACCTAGAAAACTCCGAGAGTTGTCAGGACTTTGGGTATTGCAGGCGGATTAAAGTTGCGAAGGTAGAGTGGGCTATGCGTAAGATGAGCAGGGGGAGAGCGACCGGACCAGACGAAATCCCGGTGGAATTCTGGAAAAGCGTAGGTAAGGCGGACTTGGAATGACTAATTGGGCTATTCAATATCATTTTTAGTACGAAGAAGATGCCCGGGGAATGGAGATGGAGTACGATGATCTCGTTGTATAAGAACAAGGGAGATATCCAAAATTGCAACAACTATCGGGGTATCAAACTACTGAACCATACTATGAAAGTATGGGAGAGGGTGGTGGAACTGAGGGTGAGGAGGATTGTGTCCATTTCAGAGAACCAATTCGGATTTATGCCGGGGTGTTCGACTACAGAAGTTATTCACCTTGTTAGGAGGTTGATGGAGCAGTATAGAGAGATGAAGATTGATTTACATATGGTGTTCTTCGACTTAGAGAAGGCTTACGATAAAGTGCCGAGAGAGATGCTGTGGAAATATTTGGAGGCTAGAGGCGTTCCTGTTGCATATATTAGAGCTATTTAGGACATGTACTAGGGTGCTAAGACTCGAGTGAAGACAATGGGAGTGGACTCAGACCACTTCCCGGTTGTGATGGGGCTGCATCAAGGGTCAGCCCTCAGCCCTCAGCCCATTTCTGTTTGCCCTGGCGATCGATGCGCTGACGAGTCACATTCAAGGGGAGGTGCCGTGGTGCATGTTGTTTGTAGATAACACTGTACCGGTGTTGTGAAGAGCGTGAGGCGAGGAAAAGCGACAAGCCCCTTTTCTCTTAAAGCGAGAAGCGAAGCGTTCCAAGCACAAGCCGGGTTTTTCCTATCGTCTTTTGGTGCCATTAAAAGAACAACTAAATAACACATAAAAAGATATAAGAACTAAGAATAAATGATATGGAAAAAATGGCAGTATAACTGAAACGAAAAATGGGCAGCATTTCGCTGCAATTTATCACTGAAATAGAGAAAGAAAATGAAGAAGAAGAAGAAGAGAATGAAAAAAAGAAGAACTGAAAGGGAAAAAAAAATTCACCAGCATTTCACTGCTATTTGGACACTAAAACAGTGAAAGAAAATGAAGAAAAAGAAGAAGGAGAAGGAGAAGGAGGAGGAGGAGGAAGAGGAGGAGGAGGAGGAAGAAATCACATACCTGGGACCAAACTTGATGATCTTGAAGTTGAAAAGTATAGAAAACTTGAACCTTAGGTCGCCTCTGTTGTTCTCTGTTGCTGCTGCTCGATGGTCTTTTAAAAAAAGAGAGTCTTTTTAATATTAACGTTGGCAGCCCAGTTATAAAGAGAAGCGCTCTGTCATTGTGTTCGCTTCCTCGCTTCTCGCTTTTTCAGGGGAAGCGATCGCTTTTCTGTACCTGATACGCTTCAGATCAGAGAAGCGCCAGATGCCTCGCTTCGCATCGCTTCTCGCTTTAAGCAAGGAAGCGGTCGCTTTTAACAACACTACATTGTACTGATTGACGAGACGCGTTGTGCTGCCAACGAGAGGTTAGAGGTTTAGAGACAGACTTTGGAGTCTAAAGGTTTCAAGTTGAGCAGGACCAAAACAGAATACTTGGAGTGCAAGTTCAGTGGCGCGACTCAGGAAGACGTGAGGCTTGATTCACTAGTCATTCCTAAGAGAGAGTTTCAAGTACCTTAGGTCTATTATACAAGGGAATAGGGAGATTGACGAGGATGTCACATACCGTATTAGGACGGGATGGATGAAATGGAGGCTCGCTTCCGGTGTTTTGTTTGATAAGAATGTGCCGCCAAAACTTAAAGGTAAGTTCCTATGGAGCGGTGGTCAGACTGACTATGCTGTATGGGGCGGAGTGTTGACTGGTCAAGACATTCCATGTCCAAAAGATGAAGATGGCGGGCATGAGGATGTTGAGGTGGATGTGCGGGCAAACCATGTTAGATAAAATTAGAAGTTAAGTTATTCGGGACAAGGTGGGTGTGGCTTCTGTGGAGGATAAGATGCGGGAGGCGAGACTTAGATGGTTCGGGCATGTGGAGAGGAGAGGCACTGATGCTCCGGTGAGTAGGTGTGAGAGGCTGGCATGGGAGGGCCAACGGAGAGGTAGAGGCAGGTCGAAGAAGTATTGAGGAGAGGTGATTAGGCAAGATATGGCGTTGCTCCAGCTCACTGAGGACATGACCATGGATAGGAAGGCGTGGAGGTTGAGAATTAAGATAAAGGGTTAGGTGGTCGAGTGTTGTCCTTGTTTGTAGCAGTAACTTTGATACACCACTTGGTGCCTTCCGTGTTTTTTTTTGTACCCTATTCTTCTGTTACTACTTGCGGTTGTCTTGTGTTTTGGTTTTCTGATTGCATTACCTTTTGTTAGTTTCGTATTTTTGCTTTGGTTGTCAGATCTGTTTGCTTGTTATTGCCCCTCCCCTCTCTCCTTCCTGAGCCGAGGGTCTTCCGGAAACTGTGTCTCTGGCTTTTTAAAGGCAGGGGTAAGGTCTGCGTACACTCTACTCCTTTTGGGACTACACTGGTATGTTGTATGATATATTGGCTGGAAAAAACTGTTTATATAGGACTGACTTTTAAGAGCTAAAATTATGAAGTGGGAGGACACTTAATGCATGCACAGTTGTGGCAGGTAAGTGCGAGGGGAGACCGAGGAACATGTGTTGGTAATATGGAAGGGAACGAGAGGGAGAAGCCAAGGATAGTGTGAGTATTGGTAACAAGGGGAGGTGTGGTTTACTGACATTTATAAGGATATTGCAGAAAAAATGTGGAGGATTCGTGAGCATGTTATGTGAAAGCTATATGATTTTCAGATTGTTCAGGGTTGGTCTAGTGGTAAGAGCGCTGCAATAATGTGTGGGTTAGGCGCATGTTACGGGTTCAAAGTTCGAACCCTGCTACGGACAAAACGCTTGGTATTTAAGCGGAGAAAGATATATGGGTGGGCCCTTTATTTGCCGAGTTTCGAACTGTGAGACATTTGGCTCGAGGATTACTTGGTTTACCAATAAAAAAAAAGAAAACTATATGCTTTTCAGAAAGATAGCACAATATCTTTTACTTCACAAAGTAAAAACAACGAGAACCAAGTGATTTTGTTAATTCCCTTTTTTTAAAAAGAACTTTCAGTAACTTGTGCCGATAAATCTCTCTCTGGTATTCCCAAGCTTTAGTATTTCTGAAATAATTCTCAGTGGGAGGGAGGGAGGGAGAGAGAGAGAATTGGCCTGATTTTTTCCCTTTATTTAAATATTTTCTTATTAATATCTGCAAAATTATTTGTTCCTTCATTTAAGATTAGCCCGCACCATGCTGTTAAAGCAATATAGGTAACAGAGCTAAGGGAAACGAATGGGTGATAGTGTCCTTTAAAAACCAGCATTTGGACATCCGTGATGCTGTTTGTTGGAGTTCGTCTTCTACTTTCTGAGTGATATCACATGATACCCTATGTAACCATGCGTTGTATGTTCCTTTTTTGTTGTTTTGGATGAAAAACCATGCCGTTTCAGTTTTAGATGATTCTGAAAATTCTGACGTCAAAGTGGTTCCCTCATGTTTTTTGGCTGGTAGGAAATAGTTATTACATTTGGAACATATTTAGTAATCTATATTACATGCACTGCTGAGTAGGTGCTATTATATGATGAACCAACAGCGGGGCTTGATCCGATTGCATCAACCGTTGTGGAAGATCTTATTCGCTCGGTTCACGTGACAGGCGAGGATGCACTTGGGAAGCCTGAGAAGATTGCATCTTATGTTGTCGTCACTCATCAACACAGTACTATTAAAAGAGCTGTTGACAGGTTCGGTTTCTTGTTGTTGGAAGGCATGTTGAAGTTGCATATGCTGCAAACTTTTATTAACTTGGAGGTTCCTTTTGTGCAGGCTAATATTTCTTTATGAAGGAAAAGTTGTCTGGCAAGGAATGACTCATGAATTCTCAACATCAACTAATCCTATTGTTCGGCAGGTAAAGATGGTCTTGCTTCGGTTTTTGTTTCCGAAAAAACTGCATGCTGATTTCTCTTATTTCATCAGCAAGGAGTAAGATTAAACTAACTGTGCTATCAAATCAACCTTCTATTTACGAACTGGTCCGTTCGTTCCAATTTGTCACTAAATCGAACTAAATTAATCAAAATTCTAGATATTTAGAGACTATACAAAAAGTACTTCTATAAGTTAAAATTATCCTCATGAAAATAGGTCAAAGTTCACTTAAACAGAATATGTCAAAAGCATTTTTGAAGGAGTACTAACTGCATATCTGAATGGGTAGACACATATATATTCGTTTGATGGAAAATTTACATGTTTTCTTCTGGTTATTTGGCACATGGTAAGATTTAAACCGTTGTTTGTTTCATATCTGTCAGTTCGCATCAGGGAGCTTGGATGGTCCTATTAAGTATTAGCTTCTATAACTACTGCAAATACGCAAAATACTTGGTCTTCCATTTTGGAAACTCGGAGTTAGCATTACCTTATGAACATCGTAGACTTGCTGGTGGTTTTAAAGCTGACCTTATCAAGCCACAACAGTTAGATTAATGGGAGATCTGACAGTCACATCTTCTGGACTAAGGTTGCAGCTCTTATTTTGCTGAGCCAAATCCCATGAATCTGCACGTCTTAGAAAAAGTTTCTAGTTCTATTTTAATCTTATTCTTCCTTCTTTTTTCACATTCGTTTTTGCAGTTGGGTCTTGAGGTAGACTGTCGAGAAATCCAATTATGGCCTCATTGTACAATAGCATCTTGATAGTAAGGAATTATGCAGAAATAAAGTGATTCTTTTGGCTTTGTTATTATATTATAGAAATTTTGACTATTTTATAACCACTACCAAATTATTCCATGGATAAGGACAAATTCTTGCTGCAACACTTGTAAGGAATAAATTCCATGACGCTACCTATGGAAGATAAATTTTCCATGCATGAACACCGATGATTCGGAAATTGACATGATCCGAAAGCTAGCTTGAGAAAGGTTGTTTGTTTAAGTTATTGAGGTAATATAGGAATATATATCGAACAGATGCTATGTGATTGTATTGGAAAGTTGCTATGGAAAGCCATTGTTTTGGAATACTCTTTGCAACTCAACGAGCATATCGTTTAGTGTTGGGCGCTGGTACCCACCCTTAGAATAGGTCGTTGTGTTATCCTTTTACTGGATTTAACCAGTGTGAATTCAGATTAGTCGGGCCAGTAAATTCGGAAGCAAATAAGATGTCTTTCTTATGGTGCTTGCAACAAATGATAAAATTGCAGAATGAATTCTGAAAATCTTCTATCACAAGTTAAAGTGACTGGAATCAGGAGTAAATAAAATATTTCTACTCATCAAATAGAATACTTTTGCATACCTTTAATCAACCCCCTGGGTTTTCATAGAACTTTGCATACTTCGATTTTTGCTTCAAATGACACTACAACTCTGAGAGCTCTAAGATTCCATGTGCATTTAACACACAAAATTCTAAATATAAAGTTCAAAGAGAAACTATGGGTCAGTGACACCTGTATCTCGCCGATTTCTTGATAAAACCTGTAAGAGCAAACTGTTCTCAGACATGCTTGAAAGATCACATTCAACTAAACCAACATGAACCATAGTAAGCCAGCCCGGTGCACTAAGCTCCCGCCATGCGCGGGATCCAAGGAAGGACCAGACCATAAGGATATATTGTACACAACCTTACCCTGCATTTTTGCAAGAGGCTGTTTCCACGACTCGAACCCGTGACATCCTGATCACATGACATCGACTTTACCAGTTACGCCAAGGCTCCCCTTCATAGTCCAGAGTTAAAACTAATAAAAAAATGGCTGGTTAGTAAACAAGATAAAGCTTGAAAGCAGCTGCTATATGATACAATTCGTAAGTTACTGTACAATGATCTCTCATCACTTTCAATCTGCTAAACTTTTTGTCTGCAGAATGTAGTTTCTTGCTCGAGATGAACAAAATAGAGCAACAACACCAACATAGAAGCTAACTAAAGCACTTATACAGTAAACCCAAACTGATAATGGTCCCTCTTCCATTTCTTCTTTAAATTTCTTCCCTGGCTCTACTGGAAAAGTTTTCTGACAGCCATTACCAGATGATTCCATGCATAGGTTCGGATTACCAGCAAATGCTCCTGGAAATTTCGAATAACCTTGCTTTGTGGGAATAACACCAGAGAAGCAATTATATGACAGATTTAAAACTGTCAAATTTCGGAGGACAGTAATGTTTTCAGGGATGTGACCAGATAAAGAATTATGTGACAAATCAAGAGCCTTTAACTTCTGCAGCTTCTCTAAACTCCCCGGAACTGGACCATCAAGAAAATTATATGACAAATTAAGGTATTCCAAACCATTTAACCCGAGCAGACCCTCTGGAATTTCGCCATGAAGCAAGTTGTCAGACAGATCAATTCCAATTGTGGTTGTGAGATTATAGTTGAAGCTCAAACTAGTTTCATCAGCAACAAGGGAGAGTTTGACGTCTAGTCTTCGAGCTGAAATTGACAGTACTGCAGGAATGGTTTTTCTAGCGTCGCCATTGTAGAAATTTGGACTAGTGTTAAAGTTACCATCTGGTATATAGCCTGAAAATTTATTTCCAGAAAAATCTAAAGTATGAATAGCCTGAAATGTAAACAGCCAACTTGGCAGAGATCCACTGAACTTGTTCCGAGCAAGGGAGAGGAACTTGAGGTTCGACCATTTGGTTATCGCATCATTTAAAGATCCCGAGAGATTATTAGAGCTCAAGTCAACAACTTCCAAAGACTTGCACCCTGCCAATGTCAGTGGGATCTCACCCGAAATCATGTTGTTTCCTATATCAAATATCTTTAGACTATCCAACGCGTCAAGCACAGGCTGAATTTCCCCAGAAAGATTATTATTGTTTAGTATCAGTGCCAGTAGTTGGAAACAACCGACGATGTTCACAGGAATCGACCCAGTGAGGAGGTTATGTGAGAGATCAATCACCTGTAAATAGGTCAAATTACCAATCCTTTCTGGTATTTCGCCCACAAGAAGATTGTAAGAGAGAAACAATGCTTGCAAACTCTTTAATTCTGTTATTGTTACAGGAATATCACCAGAGAATTGATTGTTTGACAGGTCAAGAAGTAGAAGTCCAGACTTCTCTGATGCCTCGACGATCCTACTTGGAATCTTCCCAGATAACTCATTATAACTCAAGTCCAACACACACAGCTTCTCCGAAAAAACCAATCTTGGCGAAATACCATATCGCAACTCATTATGTGACAAATTGAGCTGTGTCAAACTACCAAGACTAGAGATACATGTTGGTATGCCACCAAGAATCGAATTATTCGCTAAATTGAGAACCGTGAGTGATTCCCTCGAAGCATATAGACAAGGCAAAGTACCCGATAACAAATTTGACTCGAGGTTAAGTGAGACCAACGCTTGGCAAAAATCACCTACATTTCCTATCAAATTATTGTGGGACAAGTCCAGATATTTCAATGACATCAAGTTTAACAAGCTCTTAGGTATATCTCCATGAAAACTGTTAAAACCCAAGTTAAGATTCTCAAGTGTCATTGAGAAATTCCCTATCCACATTGGAATTTCACCACTCAACATGTTATGACTAAGGTCAAGTTCGATTAACTGGCTAATGGATGCAAATGTATTAGGAATTTCACCAGCGAACAAATTATAGCTAAGATCAAAAGTCCTAAGGCTCCACAACTTCCACAAACAAGATGGTATTGAACTGTTGAGGCTGTTGTGAGACAACACAAGGGTTTCAAGAAAAGTGAGATTACACAAACAAGTATGAACCTGGCCAGACAAGTTGAACCGGGAGAGGTTGAGTCCAGTGACCCGGCCGGTCTGGTTGGACCGGGTCACACCGGTCCAGTTTGAAACAGGAACATTAACATCCCAGCTTGATAAGCTCTGAGAAGAATCTTGGAGCTGTAACTTGAACAGCAAAAGCATAGCCATGTCATTTGGGTCAAGTCCAGTACTACCATTTACAGCTTCAAGATTCACAACCCCTTTTGATTTACCATCAAAAGAAGCAGCGAATGCAGAGGAAAATGGGTTCAAGAAAGGAAAAAACAAGAAAAAGAGTAAAAAGAATGAAACTTTGAGCAAATGAGAGGTTCTACAAGGCTCAAAAACTGAACCCCATGTTTCTGCCATAGAAGAAAATGAGAAGATTTGTGAAATGTGTTTTTGTTTGTGCGCGTGTGTGTGTTTGTTGGGGGTGCTAGGGAAAGGGAAAGGGGAAATGGGGGTCCCTAAGAGAGGGTTACAGGGTGAGTGTGAAAGGAATCAGTAGTGAAGATAGAGACTAAGCTGAAAGTAGGTACTTCGTTGAGAGTCGCCACTAGAGAACCAACATTCTTTCTTGTTTCTTGTTTCCTTTTTTTTTTAAGGGCGCCCTCATATTTTATCGAGGCACACTCCTCTATATTTTCTACACAGTCAAAAGTACCATACTACCCTTTTATCATCATTTTTCCAATTTGCTTGGGCTTTCGCAAATCTTTAAGTGCAAAATACAAAATTTGATATATAATAAATATACTCTCTCTAGACTCTATATATTATTGGTTATTATCATTTAGACATTGTTTCTAGCTTCAGTACTTTGACAAAATATTATTTGACCAACTACATAAATCTAAACTTCAAAATTTTTTTCTGAAAAGTTATCTAATTTATTTAAATGTAAGTATCAACTTTTAGCAGTATGGAGACGAAGCACAAGAAGAAGCAGGTCTGAAGCTTGATCATCTAACTAAATTATAAATAAATTGTAAATTATGACTGTATTTTAAAGAACCCATTAAAGTGGCTACCTAGTGTCATTTCGACCATATAAATTGAGTGATCAAATGGGGGTAATAATGTCATTTAACACGGAAATACCTCTTTGGATTAAAAAAGACGACACCAAATGGAAAAGAGAGAGAGAGAAGCAAAAAGGTGTTTGCTACTGCCCGGAGAAGTGTAAAACTAAAGTAGACAACTTTTTCTTTTCCTTTCTTTTCATCTCTCTTTTTGAAATTCCCTGTTGATGTCCCTTTAAAGATACCCTTTATTATCTGTAGGCGAGCGTGTGAAGGCATGAAACATTATTGTTCTGAGACTGTTGTACCCTTTTTTTTTTTTTTTTTTTTTTTCCAGTATTCAGTAATAGTATTGAGATCTGATTAATCCGGATTCATGCCGTGTAAACAAACGCTTCCTATTAAAAAAAATTCATACTCATAGCTCGTACCTGAAACCTCCGATTAAGGATCGTGCTCCCTTCTCTTTCTCAAGCATGTAATAAAAACTTGGAGTTTTTTAATAATTTTCACCATTAACCGATCTAATTGCTATCCTTTTTTTTTTCAATGATATGCATAATCTGTTGTTTCCTTATAAAACCATAAAAATCTATTTTTTCAATTATTTATGAAAATTGACTACTAATATTTCCTTAAAAATTACTTTATCCGCAAAAAGTTGGATCAATATTCTTCCCCTCTAGCTTATGTTTTATTGCAGTTTTAAGGTAGAGTTTGTTTAAAATTTATGTATATGAAATGGTGCTTCTGATTAATTTTACTAGATTGGTGAGTCGACAAAGATTTAAGTAAACTTGAAAGATTAGTTTCACTATAGGGCACCATACGTTAAGATATTTAGCAATAAAGTTTGTATATCGAAATCAATTGCAGTGTTATCCCACTTTCATCTCAACTGTCATAGAGACCTCCAAGAAACTCTTTCGTGCTTGAATCTCACTGGAAAACACTAACCATACGCTTACTAGGAATGGTAAATACTTATAATTGCGGCTGAATATTTACATCAAACCATATGTTAGTTGATTTTATGGGGTAAACATGTATATTTGTTAACCATAATTAAGTAAAATAAGTCTATCTGCAAATACATATCATGTATCTATTGAT